TCTAAGTTTATCTCAAACACTCAGGGCCTGGTCACAGAAATGCATGGTCCATCACCACAAGTGAGTGCATGGTATTGCCAGGCAATCCTGCTACATTACATAATCCTTTCACTTTCTTATTCTCCTGGGTTATTTCACATTTTCTCCCCTCCAACTTCTAAGACCTCCTTCTCATCCAATTTCAGCTGGTGACTTTGCTTCATTTTTTACTGACAAAATTGCTTCTGACTACATAAGTGAATGTCTACAAACTCCCACAAACATACCTACTAAACACTTGGTGTCTGAACTCTGCTCTCTCTCTTTCCCTATTTCTGTAGATTATCTGTGTTTTCCAAGGCCAATCCTTTCTTTTGGATCTTAGATTCCATTTTCCTTTTGCCTTCGCAAGAACATTGTTTCAGTTTTTCTACTGCATCAACAATTTTTCTTTTCTACTGAATCATTCTCATCAGCACACTATAAAACATATTGTAATAGCTCTCTTCTTTAAAAAAAAGTCTTGTATCCCTTCATCTTCCTTCAGCTATTCCTCCATTTTTCCTTTTTCTATCGACCTTGAAACTCCAAGAGTTGATTTTACTCACTATCATCAGTTCTTTTCTCTCCATCTCTTTTCAACTTATTTTTTCTAAATTCAATAGCCAGTTCTAAGTTCCTCATTCTACTGGTCCTATTAGCAGTATTCAACAAAATTGATTGATCGCTTTCTCCTTAAGACACTGTACTAATTTTCTTTCACAGATCCCCACTCTCTGAATTGCTCACCTTCCCAGTCACTCTTTCTTGGTCTCCTTTGCTGACTCTTCCTTATTTTATTGGCCTCTAAAGATCAGGACATCCTGAGGTGCAATCTCTGAACATTCCCCCTTCTCTTCCTACCTTCATGCCAAGAGCTATAGTTCAATACTTTAGCTTAACTACCATCTACCCCAGTGGTTCCCAGTGGGGGTGATTTTGCGCCCCCTCTCAGAGACATTTAGCAATGTCTGAAGACATGTTTTGTTGTCGCAACTGGGAGCAGGTGCTGCTGTCAGCTGGGGTAGAGGCCATGCTGTTGAATATCCTGAAATGCACAGGACAAGACAAAAATGTTCTCTACAACCAAAATACATCCAGCCCAAGTGTCAACAGCATCAAGGCTGCCAAACCCTGACCTACCCACTCCTCTGAACTCGGGCTCATATGCCCAGCTTCCAATTAACATCATCATTAGGATTTTTAATAGATAGCTCAGACTTAATACGTATCAAACTACAGTTTGGATTCCCTCTGCCTCAGCTGTTTCCCTAGAAAACAGAACCTGAGACAGGACTTATGCTTTAATACCAGGTGTGATCCTAGGGGAACTGATAGTAAGGGAAAAGAAAAATGAGGTAAAGAAGAATAGTATGCAAATAGAAGGTGGTGAGTTACCAATCTTGCCACTGCTTCATGAGCCACAAAGAGATGTAGCCCTGTCACTAGGCCCTGTGGTTGCTCATCCCTAAAAAGAATAAAGGGAGAAGGAATTTATCTATATGCTTCAACCTGTCTCATATCTCCTACTGGACAGACTCCCACTGGTCCATTGGGTAAATGCCTCCATGGGGCTGCGTTGTTCACCTGGACTTTTTTGTGATCCTGAGGAATCCAGATTCCACTCATTGCAGTATGGTCAACTTCAGAAGCAGAACTCTGCTGCCCGCACAGAGCTGGCTGTTTAAAGCAGCCACAGGCAAGAAAAATGGAGAGACAGAGAGAATCTGAGAGAGGGGCCCAACTGTCTAATATAGTAATAACCAAGACACTCAAGATACCAGACTTTGGATAACTCATATTCCTGCTGTCCAATCCACTCCTCCAATAAATGATATCACCATTTAACTAGTTACTAAGGCTACAAACCTGGGAGACATTCTTGAAACATTTCTTTCCCCTATATCCCAAGTCCTGCCATTTCTATTTTTAATATGTAATCTATGCCACTCCCTTCTCATAAGCCTGCCACTATCTTCCTTGTTTAAGCCATCATCGCCTGCACTACTTAATAACCTCCAACATCGTGCCTTGTTTCCAGTATCCAGAGTAATCTTTAAAAATAGCAAATCATATTATATTACTTCATGGATCCAAGTCCTCCAATATCTTTCATTGCATTCAGAATAAAATAAAATATTCTTATAGTAGCCTAAGAGGTTCTGCATGATCTGGCTCCTGCCTACTTTTTTGACCTGCCTTCTACAACATTCTGCTTTGGTCAGTCCTCTCTAGCTACACTGGTCCTCTTTTGCTTCCCAGACATGTTAAGCTTGTCCTTGCTTTTGTGCCTTTGCGCTGCTCTTACATGTATCATTTGGAGCTCCCTATTCATTGCTCTCTCTCTTCTTGAAGTTTTTTGTTGAAATGTTACCTCTACAGAGAAGCCCTTCCTAGCCATGCAAATCTGTATTTGTCAGTCTCTATCCTTTTTTCTTAATTTTCTTTACCTAAGATTATCATATGTGGCTTATTTGTTCACTGTCTGTTTCTCCCACCAGAATATGAGGTATGTGAGGTATGAGGCCTCCTGTGCCTTAGTTATTACTTAGTTATTACTGTGTCTCCCGTGCTACGCTATGTCTGACACACAGCTGGCACTGAGCAAATATTTGTTGAATGAATAAATGTCTTCAGACCCCTACCAATGGTGAGCTTGCATTAAGAATGAGGAGTTCCTAGATCAACTTTCTTCCAGTTCCTTAGAGGTCCAGTCCTGTCTAAACACATCTGTTAGGGATGTTGAAAACCTCCTGATCTTATTATGCCCCCTAATAAAGCCCGGAATTTAGGAACCTGGGATCCCACCCAGTCAGGGAATTGGCTCTCTTCTTGAAAGGCAATAGCCAAATGCTGAATCAGGGCAAGTGCCTCCATATGAGGCTAGAGAGATGATGGTCATAGGTCACAGACATGTTTAAAGGAAGAGAGCAGGAGGCACAGGAGCAGGGCGGGGAAGTCCAGGGTTGCTAGGGCATGGTCAGAAAACGTTTGTCAGGTCTAATAGAGGTATTTTTGATAGGGCTGTAACAACCGCAGCTGCCATCGCAGCAGCAGCAAAACAAGGCATTTGACTAATTCAGCGCAGATCTTTGTGTTTGTTTGTTTGTTTGTTTGTTTGTTTGTTTGTTTATCAATAAAGCAGTCGTACAGAAAGTAGAATTAGTGGGATAGAAGATGAGTGTGGAAGGTGGGGAAAGGGCAGAGCTTTATATAGAAAAGAGGAGTCTCGAGAACTCATTGTTTCTAAAAGGAAAGCTGGGTTATGTGTTCCGGAGGAACGGAGGGAACAAATACTTCTATTTTTCTGAAAGGGATCCTGGAGCCTGAATCTGGGGGAGGGACTTAACTATTTCCGAACCCAGAATTACTGCACTGCCTCGGCAGCCCCGCCGAGGCCCCTGCTTTCTACTAGCCACAAAAGAGTGGGGAGCGTGCAGTCATTGGCTTTGATCAAAGAGGTGGGTGTTTTAGGCAGCAGGCGACGAGATTCGCGGTGGTGTGAAGGGGTGGTCCACCGCAGCGGGCGGAACCAATCAGCAGCGACTCCAGACTCCTGCAGCCTCCTCAGGGACTCCAAGGCAGTTAAGTACCGGGGCTGCTAGTTGCAGGCTCCCGCGCAGTGGCAGCTGAGGCGCTGAGCCCCTGGGGGCACCGCTAGAGAGCCGCACTCGGTGCAACACGCACGCTCTGGCTCGTGCTGCCCAGCGCATCTGTGCAGACCTTTCCCGAAGAAGTTGCAAGCCTTGCAAGTGGCCTGTGGAGGCACTAGGCCGGGAAAAGGAGCTGCGGGAGGAGGAACAGAGATGGGAGGTGGGCAGAAGGCTTGCTTCTTAGATTAATCCCAATTAGGACCAAGTTGGCAGACAACCTCACAAACCCACGAAGGCTTTGGTTGTTGCCCATATTTCAAAATAGTCTGATCCTAAGAAAACTTCCAACTCCCCTCGTAGGTCAAAGGGAGACAGACTCTTAGCACCACTGCCTCGCAGTAACACTACGTAAAACAAACCCAGGTGATTCTCAGCTGCAGAGCTCTACCCAAAGTCCGCATCTCTCTATCTCTCCGAGTCGGGGGGGGGGGGGGGGAGAAGCTGGGTAGGCTCTACAAAGAGTTCCCTGCGGGAGGGGCCAGATGGCCCGCCGAACGTGGCGACTGAAGCGGATTATTGTGGGACTGCAAAAAACGCAACCCCATCGGAGGAGTTTTGCCAGGAACACCACCCGCCTGCATTGCGTCGGACTTGACCATTGAAAATGGGAAATTCCCGGGGAAGGTCGCGGCCAGGGACCGTGCGTGTGCAGGGCTGTGGACCATAGGGAAGTAGAATTGGTGGTCGGCTTTTCTGGTAGAAGGAAAAAACTGTGCTGGCAAGGGTGGGAATCAAATACCAACCCCCTCTGTGGAACCACCCCCTCATATTTTCCCTCTACCTCCTCGTTCCTGCCCTCCCCCGCCCTCCCCAACCCACGCCCGGGTGGGCCAATCGCAGCTCCGCATTCCAGGCGCTTTCTCAGGTTTCTGCTGATCTTGCAGCGCCCAGAAATGTACCGGGCAGACGGGCCACCGCACGCACCCTGCCCCACTCGGCGCTCCTAACAGCTCCCCGCGCGCCGCGCAGCCTACGCGAGGTCCACACGGGGTTGCGAGTAGCGGAGGACACCCGAGAGCCATGTAGACCCACGCTTTTGCTAGCCCGCCTCCTTCGGGATCGAATCAAGGGCTCCCACACTGTTCGGAGAGGGTGAGAGTGCTGTTTATCGTCATTTGCTTCAGAGCTTCGAGAGAGGGTGGCATTTTGCTTTTTCCCCCCGCATCCTCCGGAACTCCCTGCACCAGAGAGGACGGCATCTCCAGGTTGCTGGCCACGGTGAGAATGGGGATAGGGAATGGACATTTCCCTCGTAGTTGCTAGAAAAGCGATCATCCAATTGAAGGGGCGTAAGACGAGGGAGCGAGGGCGGCGCATTTGCCCCGGCATCTCTCGGATGCTGCTGCGGCAGCTGCCGTGGCTCTCGCCCGGGTCCACTGCAAAAGCGACCTGCCGCATTCTACTCCTGCTCTCTGCCGACTCAGCACCGCCCCTGCACCAAGCCAGACGGTCAGGTAAGGGGCTCCCCAGTTCTTGGCTGCAGAAGCGGGGGTGAGGGGTGGGGGGTGGAGCAATGAGTGGGGGGTGCTGTGGGTGTGGGTTGCTGCCTGGGACCTGGAGCTCCCCCAGCGTCTCTCGGCGCTTTTCCGATCTCTAGTTTAACGAAGTTGTAAACAGATCGGCTGTTGGGCATTGGGAAAAGTGGGATGGGAGAGCCCCAAACTTGGATTTCCGGGTGTCTGCGTGTGTCTGTTGTGTATATGTCCAGCAAAAAGTCCAGTGCTTTCTAAAAAAGCTAGAAGTCTGTGCTCTTCGGTGTCTGTAGGTACGTCCCATCTGAATGCTTCTGATTTTCTACTCCCGTATCACTTTCTATTTCTCTGCAGCGTCCATCGATCGCCCTGGTGGGAGCTTAGAAGGCGGCAGGCGAAGAGGGGTAGGAGGGGGAGAGCCTAAGAGCAGCAGAGGGGGTGTTAGGCGAGGGGGCTCTCGGAGGGGAGGGGAGGCCAGGGTGATCCCCGAAAGGATGGCCCGGCCCTCTAGAACGGCACTGCGTTAAGGCACCCCGCGGCCGGATGAAACACCAACCCTACCCCCTCCCAACCTTCGGCAAAAAAAAAGCTGCACCCCGGGTTGCAGGCAAGGGGTATTCCAAACTCAGCAAAAGGCAGGGTGGAAGGGAAGAGAACCAGAAGGGAAGTCGTAGATCTCCTGACCTGTTAGCTTTGAAGCCCCTCCCTCCCTGAGCGTGGGGGAGACTCGCACTCAGGTGGGGGGTGGAGCTCGAGTCCCCCCACCTCTCCTCCCTTCGTCCTTCCCACCGCGGGCCCTCTCCCAGTCTCTCACCCTCACACCCGGCTTCCATCATGACCGTGATGTCTGGGGAGAACGTGGACGAGGCGTCGGCAGCCCCTGGCCACCCCCAGGATGGCAGCTACCCCCGGCCGGCCGACCACGACGACCACGAGTGCTGCGAACGCGTGGTGATCAACATCTCCGGGCTGCGCTTCGAGACACAGCTCAAGACCCTGGCACAGTTCCCCAACACGCTGCTGGGCAACCCTAAGAAACGCATGCGCTACTTCGACCCCCTGAGGAACGAGTACTTCTTTGATCGAAACCGGCCCAGCTTCGACGCCATCCTCTACTACTACCAGTCGGGGGGCCGGCTTCGGAGGCCGGTCAACGTGCCCCTGGACATGTTCTCCGAGGAGATCAAATTTTACGAGCTGGGCGAGGAGGCCATGGAGAAGTTCAGGGAGGACGAGGGCTTCATCAAGGAGGAGGAGCGCCCCCTGCCCGAGAAGGAATACCAGCGGCAGGTGTGGTTGCTCTTCGAGTACCCTGAGAGCTCCGGGCCCGCCAGAGTCATAGCCATTGTTTCGGTCATGGTCATCCTCATCTCCATCGTCATCTTTTGCCTGGAGACTCTACCGGAGCTGAAGGATGACAAGGACTTCACAGGCACCCTTCACCGCATTGACAACACCACGGTTATCTACAGTTCCAACATCTTCACGGACCCCTTCTTCATTGTGGAGACCCTGTGCATTATCTGGTTCTCCTTCGAGCTGGTGGTGCGTTTCTTTGCCTGCCCCAGCAAGACGGACTTCTTCAAAAACATCATGAACTTCATCGACATCGTGGCCATCATCCCCTATTTCATCACCCTGGGCACTGAGATAGCTGAGCAGGAGGGGAATCAGAAGGGCGAGCAGGCCACTTCGCTGGCCATCCTCAGGGTCATCCGGTTGGTAAGGGTTTTTAGAATCTTCAAACTCTCCCGCCACTCCAAGGGCCTCCAGATCTTGGGCCAGACCCTCAAAGCTAGTATGAGAGAGCTAGGACTGCTCATCTTTTTCCTCTTTATTGGGGTCATACTGTTTTCTAGTGCAGTGTACTTTGCCGAGGCGGAAGAAGCTGAGTCGCACTTCTCCAGTATCCCTGATGCTTTCTGGTGGGCGGTGGTGTCCATGACCACTGTAGGATACGGTGACATGTACCCTGTGACAATTGGAGGCAAGATCGTGGGCTCCTTGTGTGCCATCGCTGGTGTGCTGACAATTGCCCTGCCCGTACCTGTCATTGTGTCCAATTTCAACTATTTCTACCACCGAGAAACTGAGGGGGAAGAGCAGGCTCAGTTGCTCCACGTTAGCACCCCTAATTTAGCCTCTGACAGTGACCTCAGTCGGCGCAGTTCTTCTACTCTCAGCAAATCTGAGTACATGGAGATCGAAGAGGATATGAATAATAGCATAGCCCATTATAGACAGGCCAATATCAGAACTGGCAATTGCACCACAGCTAATCAAAACTGCGTTAATAAGAGCAAACTACTGACCGATGTTTAAAAAAGCCAAGCAAACAAAAAAGCCCCACTTAGCAGCTTGAAAGACTTAAAAACAAAACAAAAACCCTAGTGACCCATGTCACTCTTTGTTGATGCTTCACTAGTCTTCGAGTGCTCTATTTAACTGTCAATGCATTGTTGCATTGTGGATTTTGGGGGTGGCCAACCAGAAGCTTTCAAGATCCATGAAAATAAAAAGAATCTATTTTCACTTTGTTAAAAATGGATGAAGAAAGTGTATTTTATAAAATTGGTTTAAAAAATGCAGTCCATGAGCTAGTCTAGGTAAACTAAGATTCATATGCTTTCCCCTTCTGAAACATTTGTAATCCTTGGACCTCTTTAACTTTTTTCTTTTAACTAAAAACCAGATGATCACTTAGAAATATAAAATTAAAAGTTGCATAGGACTCCAAAATAAAATCTTTGCAAACTGCACAGCACATTTAAGACAGTGCATCTGATGATATGCAACATGATATGCCAGACAAAATGGGCAGCGAACAAATGTTTTCCACGTTGATCAACTGAACTGCATATTATAAGGTGGAAAAAAAAAAGGCAAACAACATTACTTGAGACTGGCTCACAAAGCACCTTATCAATCTGATGCCGGTCCTGGTCTTTAGGGATTCTCCCTCAGTCCCATTCTCCTTCTATTCAAACTATTCTCTAAGAAAAAGATACTGAATTAAATTAATGGATTCATCTGCAGTGCTGCTAAGTTTCTCAACTGCAGGCGAGCCCCACACAGGTCTTTTCTCACGGGTCCTGTACCCTGACCCCTGGCCTCCAGAACTGGATGTAAAACCTTAGCCTCCTTATTGCAAGAGAGCACAAATGGAGTTAAATGTAAGCATGTTTGATTCTGATAATAATTTATTTTATAAACGCATGCTGAGAACATTAACTCAGACAATAGGGGATAAGCTTATGTTTGAATCGACTCTTCTAAAAAATAGATCCTTTTTCATTTGCATTCACCAAAAGTGCACTCTTTTATTTATTAACTATTTTATTAGTAAATAAAGTACTGTATTTAAGTGCATATATTATTCAGATGGGAATAATAACTTTTTGGAGCTCAAAGCATGTTCTCTTATTCAGCATTATGGCCTATTTGATTAAGGTGTACCTTGAATTAATTAATGCATGATTTCAGTAAAAAACACTTAAAAATAATAAAAACTATAAGTTTGTGGGATGACGGGCCCAAAGAAACAATGGGGGTGGGGGCGGGGGGGGGCACACAGTCAATTTTCCTGCCTTTGCTCAGGGAAATGTCGGGTTTCTGTGCAGGTGTAGGCAGAGAGAGGACCAATATGCCCATCCCTTAAAGGGAAGCTGTATGGAAAACTAAATAAATCATCAAGGTATATATAGCAACACCTAAGAACAAGTATTATTTCTAGCTGAAGATAAACACAAGCAAAACAAACAAACAAAAAAAGGTGCAATACTGCATGTTTTTTGGTGCATTCTTAAGATGTAAATGAAAATGTTTATCTATTGTATGCATCCAAAGCAGAGCTGATTTCTTTTTTGCAGTTATTATTTGAAGTCTGTAGAGACTTTGGTCCTTCCCCTGAGTCACCCTGAAGAAACTTAACCAATTGATTTAATAGTTGCTTAGTGCCTTTATCCTGTACCCACAGTGAACTGTAGAAAGTGCCTCCATTAACACAGCTGAGAAGTTACGTAACAAAGGGAGGAAGGGTTGGGGCACAGATATTTTGCTTTTTCTTTTCCATCCTCACTGTCTCACTTCACCACTGTGAGAAGACCACACCATCCTGAACCTTGGAGAGGAGAGATCCAAGAGTGTACTTCTTCTATGGCCATCCACTGGACCGAGTCCCTTTGGCAGCCTGATATGGGATATAAACTGGGACCTGAGACCCAGCTTTGAACTGGACATGAACTTGATTTTTTCCTCTTCTCTACCAGAAGCCAAGATAAACTTTTTGGGAATTTGTTTCCTATCGAGGGCCACTCTGGACATTCAGGGCTTCCTCGGGTCCAGTGTAGTGTCTCTTGCACATTTTCATATGTCTCCTCTGTTAGCAACAGCACTTTGCAGACCTCTGATGGTCTGATCTTTCTAGGCATCATTGTGACTACGGGAACACTCGGTTCATATTAACCTTTCCTAGGCCCTCCCTCCTGGTCCACTCCCTTCAGATATTTCCTATGATGCTCCTCTGATCTTTCCACCTGGCAGTCACTTCACAGGCTGAGCATCTCACTTCTACTGCTCCCGGCACCCAGCCCAGAGAACAGCTGGGACCCTGTGCTTGCCTAGCTGAAAGAAAGCCACATAACATAGGCTGCTGGGGCCTAGCATGTGTCCACCAATGGAGAGGCACTCACTGCCTTTTTAAGGACACCGAGTGGGGATCTTCATTCTGCATTAGGATGTGGCTGCCTGTTGCTGATTACCTTATATTCCTGCCCTGCTTCTGGAAATCTTCCCCATTACTCCCATCCTTTCCCCCACTCTGTCCTAGAGCTAACAGTGAGGCAATAAACAAAGAAACTAAAGTAACAAACACCCAGGCTGGCTGACTCAGTTGAAAGAAAGAACATGGATATTTTGTTTTCCTGTGCTGCTTCTGTAAATCCGTAAGATGAATGTAACATCATGGAAGACAAGGAGCCAAGGACTGCATACAGCTGACCACAGGGCATAAACCCTCCCCTGTGATGTTTCCTTCTCTTTTGAACCTTGACTCATCTTGGCTATTCCTTTCCTACATGCTTAAAAGTCCCCAGTTGGGAAAAAAATGCCAGCCTCTCCTAAATTTCCAGGATATCTTGATCTTTTATTTAGACTCTGAGGTCAGGACACACAGAGCTCAAAACTCTGCATTCTGTCAACAGCAATAATCCACTCAGTACTGTGGGATGGATGGGTCAGAGAATCAGAAAATGGGACCAAGACTTATGAGATGGACTTTGGCCGCTTGGTATACCTCTCCTAGTTAGATGCTGGACTGGCAATTATCCTGCATGTGTTACAGGAAAAAGTGATGCATGCAGTCAGCCCGGGATTAGGGATGAGTTCTTATGAATTTGGGTGCTATGGGGAAAATGAATGCTGCTTATCCATCTGTAGCTCACTGCAACCAAGTCAGTAAGAATGGAGTATGGAGACTCTCTGTGTAGCATAGGCATGCAAAGTTCCACAAAGCTCTTACCCCTTGCACTGTAATGTGCTGAAATGTTTTTGTAGACCTGAAGGTGCACTTAACAAAACTGCCTATTAAGGAATGACTGTCTTTTGGTTTACTGACTTATATTTATTTTATCAGGCTTTTTAACTTTTCATCCTGTTCCTAGGTCTTGAGTTTTAATGGCTTATGTCCTGAACACTTGTTTTCTCCAGATGGAGAAGACTTCTGACACGCTGATAGCCATAGCTCAGCTCTTCCAGCATGTGAGGGCCCTAGTTCAATAGGGTGGCAGTGGAAGAGCTGGGTCACACCAGTGCTGTTAGCTATCCCAGAATCTCTGAGTGGTGAACTCACCTCAAGGGATCTGAATTAGAGACACCAAAGACATCTATTTTCTCTGTCCTCAGATTTACAGAAGACAGATTGTCACCAGGAAAGGTTTTTGTTTTTGCATCTCTTCTTCCCCATCTGTGCACAGCCCTCCCTCACTCCCCCTTGAGAGTTGAGTTCCAATTATCAGTTAAAACAGTTCACTAGGAGCATGTTAGTGAGTTAGCCTAGCCAATGAACCAATCAAATGAACCAATAGCAAATGTTTCTTCTGGAGTGTGGCCAATGGACAGTCATTTCTCTAAAATAAAACTGTGCAGTAGGTTTAGATTCCACTGTGGCAGAACCAAAGCACCAGTGACATCACAATCTTGACTCAATTGAGAGTTTTTTTTTAAATACATGTAAATGGTGAGGAATAGATTCCTTTAAGTAGAAATTTGGTTTAGTCCATAAAGGATCTTCTTCATATTGTGTATAATTACAAATTTTTCAAATTACTTGACATCTGGTGAGTCAGTAAAAACAGATTTCCAACCCTCCCATTTAGTATAAAAGACCTCCAAACACATACTTTTTTAACAATTTACAATAGAATTTTCCTTGTTTGGTAGGTTAGAGTGAACAGGAAAGAGAGAACATCAGCAGAAAGCAGTTCCCCATTTTCTTCCAGGAACGATGTACTCCTGGGAGTGATGAGAATTGGTGGGTGGTAACCATCCGTAGTATAAAATTGTTAGAAAGAATATAAACTGCCAAACAGCCATTTTATCTTTCCACTTTTTCAAAAAAGGATGAAGTTTTTTGATGTTTATGTTTATTTCAAGACAACAAACAAACTACTTTTTAAACCAGACACAACCCAAGTTGACTCGCTATCTCAGGAGGTGGTTCACACCCACCATGTGGTGTATCAGTACTCGTATTTATATTATGGAATTTCAGGGTATATGCAAACATGTCCAGCATGACTCAGGTAAACCTTAGAAGAATGTACATTACCTATCATTTCCGTAAAGAGGTGAACAGGAATTGAGTTAAACAAAACTGTTCCGTTACCTTGGGTCACTGTGCAAACTCATGCAGGATATAGGTATGAGGTGTAGAGGTCTTGGGGTCAAATGCCAGTCTCTGAGCTCAGGCAAAATGATCATGGGCTTTCCTGGGAAGCCTAGTGTGTGTGTAAGGGGTAAAGCCCTGCTGACCTCAGGACTATTAGCTTTAAAGAGATTAACCCTGGTCACCATGATTTTCATTTAGGAGATAACTAGGAGTTTATGATACAAGACTTCAAAGAGTAGAGAAAAGCTTTGCACCTTATCAGAGAAAAAGAAGAAATGGTATAGGGAAAGAAAACAAAACAAACCACAAAATCCCTTGCAAAATATTCCAGGTCAAAAGTTGTCTCTTCTCCAAACTTGCAGAAACACCTCTCCTCTTCAGTGCACTGTGTGATGCCACAGTGCCAAGTAGTCAGCATGGGCTCTGTATGCCATGCCTCTAACAGTAAAGGTGAAGTCTTACCAAGGTTAAACATAACAATTGAGTAGTATTAATTTCAAGTGCACCATCAGGACAACAAACCATTGAAGCCTGAAAGGCACTCCTGTATTTCCTGAGTTTGCAGTTGCTTACCCCTTGAGTTGAGGATGTGTCTCACATTCTTTCACCCACTGTGCACTCCCTGCCCTCACTGTCTACTATGTCAGGTAGAGGACGTTGAATGTTATGAATTGAAAACCTAACTAAAGCGCATAGTTTTCATCTATGCAATTTTACTTGCTTCTGTCACTTTATGATCTGTTCATATTTGGCATTAATTAAAGATAATTTTTAAGGATCTTATCAAGGCATATCTTGACTGGTTTTTTTTTGTCTCTTGTTTAACTGGCCTTTTGGGAACCCTTTTGTGAGGGGTTTCTTTAGATAACACAATGGAGATGGGCCTTGTTTTCTTTAAAACTCCTGAACTTCAATTTCTTCTGCACAAGGAAATACACTGGGGTTGACAGTTTGGGCTCAGGTAGGATCCCAAGGAGAGGCCTTTGGAATTTGGCCTATGAGAGCTTTGGATTGAATTTCAAAAGGGGAAAAAGAAATGAGACTCAAGGGAAGGAAGTAATTTATTATATTCATTTAAATTGTTGTTGATTTGAAACTGTAATCTTCATTCATAGTTTAGCTTTTCAGGAAGGATAACTCTGTGTGTGTGTGTGTGTGTGTGTGTGTGTGTGTGTGTGTGTGTGTGGCATGTGAGACAGAACCATAGTCTGGCATCAAATACCTTGTTGGTTACAATAGGGTGTTAGAAGTGATTTTGATGTGGAAAAACAAAGTGATTTCTAGCTGATCTTTACGTTGATTTTTTCCAGCACAGTTCTATGTGTGATTAACATGTCTTTCTTCTTCTTTTTAATGACTTGATGTATATCCTTTTGATTCCAGCTAAGATTTAGAAGTTCTCTTTTCTTCCTTGTGAATATCATATTTTATACAAGCTCTTTTATGTCAGAGCAAAGAGGGCTACATGCTTTATGACAGGTTTTTGTTATATGTCAAGTGCTTTGGGTGGCTGGGCTGGTGTGTTCTCATAGAATTGTGTTGCATTGTGTTGGGTTCATGTTGTAAGATTTGAAGATGAATCTTGCTTTTGCTATAGAATTCACTACTGAAAGTAAGCCATGAGGCTGGGCAGG